GGGAAGCAGAGCCTCTCCTTCACACACAATTTTCATGCAGCTGTCAACCACCAGGAATATAATGATGAGCATGACCAGCTTATTTTCTTGTTTCCCCAACTTTTATTATTTCTGTACTGTGATTTACTAGTAATAAACTCTGAATATCCCTTGTACATACACGCCTCTAGACCCTGGGCTTCTTAAAGGCAGGGTGTGTGTGTTTCATCTTCATAATAAAAACACAGTAGATAATATGAAATATTTGTTAATGAATTAATGAAGTCAAATGATCAGTTTTTTCCAATACAAGTTCATACTATCAAATCTCAACAGGCTTTGAAATGAAGGTCAATACTCACTAATTATTAACTTCCCTTGAATCCCAGATTCTATTCAGTTTATGAACATGCTTACATCTGTGCTATATATTAACAAAAATTCCCTTGACTCCGAATTCCCTTCTATTACCCTACTGCTATCTTAATTATTCCATTCACAGTACATTTTTTTTTTTTTGAGACAGGGTCTCGCTCAGTTACCCAGGCTATAGTGCAGTGGCACGATCATGGCTCACTGCAGCCTCAAACTCCTGGGCTCAAGGGATCCTCTTGCCTTACCCTCCCAAGTAGCTGGGACTACAGGTGCAAGCCACCACGCCCAGCTAATTTTTAAGGTTTTTTGTAAAGATGGGGTCTCCCTATGTTGTCCAGGCTGGTCTCAAACTCCTGGCTACAAGTGATCCTCCTACCTCAGCCTTCCAAAGTGCTGGGATTACAGGCATTAGCCACCAAGCCTGGCCTCATAGTCAAGTTTCTTTAGGAAGTAATTCATATTCACTGCTTCTATTTCCCACCATGACAATGTCCGATAGAAAATGGGAAATATTACAGGGTTAGGGAGAATCCTTGAATTCAAAAGGCAATGTTAAAACATATCAGAGGCCTGCAGCTTGGCCACAAAAGGGGATTCTGAGCTGGAAGAGTGGAAGTTGGAAGAGTGTTAGGAAAAGGGAAGCAGTTTCTGGAAAAGGGTGGCCCCAGGCCTGGACCAGCTGTAGAGAAAACAGTTTTGATTATTCAGAAAATTTTCACTGTTTCATACTTGAAAAATAAAAACATCATATCAAATTTAGGAATAGTAATTATGGAAACCTGAACATTTTACAGATCCAAGAATTCTCTCATTATGTATTTGCTTTAAGAATAGTATTTGGAACTATATCAAATTTAAAACTGTATTTCCGTCCTGTTACAAGTGAAATATAGACATTCTACTGGCTCCACATATACACACATGTATTACTTCTACAAAACTATTAATATTACAGAAAAATACCTTTTGAGAGTGCAAGAGAATGATAATCTCCACATGTGATCTGAATTATTTTTTTTTCTTGTAAAATGCTTTCAGACCTGATGAAGGAAAATACATTTTGTGTTAATCGCCATAATGAAAGTTACAACACGGATTTCAGAACTATTAATAGTATTTAATTAGAAATGAAGCTCAAGAAAAAACTTTCAATTTATTGCATCACATTCAGTACATCTAAAATTATTTTTTAAATACTACATGTTTTAATTAGTGGTTTAAGAAAAAACATGCATTACATAATTATAATAAAATACTATGCAAACAATAATTTTATGATGCAGGAATAAATGCAAGATGAAAATGAGTTCTAATTCATATAATCTACTAGGGAAAAGTCTCAAATCATTTCATGATAATGTGTATTTTTTTCTAGGTTAAAAACTTTTATATCCAGAAACTGAACTTACAGAACTATTGTGAGGATCAAATGAGTTAATGAATGTGAAAGTCCAATTTAGGGCTAGGCAGACTATTTAATCATTTTCTTTAAATGCCAAAACAACACATGATACCTGCCCTGGGGGACGTAAGGACTTTACTTTCAGAATTTATCATTTACTTAAGATGCTACTATATAAAGCAGGGGACAACAATCAGATATGGTAACATTTTCCTACAAAAATTATTGTCTTTTGATTAAAATTAATTTTAATAAAAGAAAAAAGTTCCCTACCTTAGATGTTTCATGCTGTAGTCATACTCAAATGGTTTTCCATCTGATGAGAGAATCAGCATGTGGTCTGCCCCTTGGTCCACGGAATGTATCTTCATGTTTTTTCCTAACTTAATGCATTCTACAAAGCAAATCCAACCAGGAACTATCATCACTTTGATTATTACCCACTGTATTACTAATTTCATTATAATACACTTAAAACATCTGGGAAACATTTCAACTAGACAGGCTTTGACTTACCATGAACTTCTCTTAAGAAAATTCTGGTAGGCAAAGCAAATTAGGAATGACAATTGTCTTGACGTATATTTTTTTTTAATTAGAAAGAATACTGATTTATACTTTGTTGTAAATGGAACATACCCTTAAAATATCCAATTAAATATCTGCTTTTAGGTTTTTGTTTATTAAGTGAAGACAAACGAAATTTGAAATGACAAAGATGAAAAGGTCTATAAGAAAATATAACTTTAAGACAACATAACTCATTTCAAGAACAAATAGATTGTGTATTCTGAAATACATTCCTTTCTCCCAAAAAGCAAATAACAGTAATAAACACCTCCCAACAGTTCCCAATAGAAGCCAATGCCTATATTCTTAAAAGGAAAGTTTATGTTTGGGGTACTATTTTTAAAGAGGATGCTGTTGAAAACATTTTTCACTGGCATTAGTGCACATTTGGCCCTTTCTAAAGTTAAGAGATTTTAAACTGTCCACTAGTTAAAATGTACTCTTATTTAATTTGTTCACAAAAATTAAACTAGGATAGTTTTGGGACCTTGTTTCATCTTCAATGCTAACGAAATAGAATCTATTCATGTGAAAATCTCAAAGCACAAACCATATTACAAATGCTAGGGGAACCAAAACAGTTTGGTAATAAGAAATGGCCCGGCGGACCTATGGTTTCCTTTAAAGAGTCTCAGCATCTCAAGTCAGTTGAAAAAAAGGAAGTATTAAGAAATGGTATTGGAACATCGGCTAAGCATTTGGAAAAGCAAATAAATCTAGCTCCCCTCCTACCTCAGTACTTAAATTCCAAGCATATGAAAAATTTTAACTTAAAAAAAAAAAAACAAAACCTTAAAATTACTATAAAGATGAGTACATTTTAAAAAATATTGGGAGTGTGGATAGCTTTCCAACCTAACATAAAATCTGTAAGTCTCTTTAACAGACAAAAAATCGATTGACTACCCCCAAAAAAATGCACAATAAAAAACAACATCCACAAATGGCAAAGTGAGAAAAATATTACAACATGTACAATGGGCAAAAGGCTATTCTTATTCAATACTCAAATACCTCTTCCATACAAATAAGCAAAAGATTTAACAACTCAATTTTTTAAAACCCAGGCAAAGACAAATAGGCAGTTTACTGAAAAAGGAATGCAAACGTCCAGTAGTTAAACGCAAAATAAACTCGCAGCAAGATACCAATTTATTCACTCCACAGATGGGCAAAATTTTAAAGAACGTGGGCAATTATTTCCGCCACTTCGATGAGAACGTGGAAGTGCAACTGAAGGCCAAGGTAAAATCCCATCACTGAGAATGGCTCCCAAAGTTGGAGCAGTGACTACTTTCTCAAAACGAGTTAGTGGAAAATGTGGCGGGCGGAGGACGGGGGGACAAACTTGAACAGAAACCTATGAGAAAGCCAGACTGGCTAAAAGAATGAAGATGCTGCCCGCATGCCCCGCACCGGCCACTTTGCTGAGTGGAGGATTCGCTGGTCGCCAGCATCCCGCTCACCCCGCACCCGACACGGACCAGGATTAAAAAGCTCAGGTGCGCCGTCGGCGAAACGACCCGAGCCAGGCGCGCGTCTGCGGCCTTCTGGGCTCTCTTCCCTCAGGCGCGTACCTCCGACCGCCCGCCCCTCACAGCCCTCACACACCAGCCCCACTCACTCGGCGTTCGGGCGCCGCCGCTCCCCGCGAGCACCTGGTGAACCTGGACGCCCGCCCCGCCGCGCTCCAAGACCGCTAGGCGCCGCGGCGAACAGCAGATTTGGCGCGTCACCTCGGCCCTCCGCAGCAGCGCGCGGTAGAAGCCCGCGGCGCTGGGGAAGAGCCAGAGCTGCGCGTCCGGAGACTTCGCGGGCTGAGACGCGGCGGTCTGGCCCGCGGTCGAGCGCCCGTCGCGCCGCGACTTCCTCCGCGACCTCCGCTCCATTGTCGCTTTGCGGGGTCCCAGGCCCAGAGGGGAGAGGAGAGAACGCGTTGTCCCAGGACTAAGCGCGCCCACTGCCCCGTGCGTCGCGCCCAGAGCGGGAACCAGCTGCGCCCACCTGCGTGGCGTCGGGGAACCGCAGCCTCAGCTATTGCGCCCCTGCCCGGACGCCACGCCCCCCACGTGCAGCTTGGGGGCGGAGCCTGCAGCTCGAATGAGAAACGAAACAGAATGTTTGTTGTTGTTTTTAGGGGGCGGAATCGAAAAGGAAAAGGAAACTAATGTGACTAGGCAGGCGGCCAAAGGCAACAGGTCGTTGGCTAGGGTAAAGGCCGGTGGGCTGGACTGAGAAAGTTCCCGGGCGTGCAGCGGCCACCTTAACTCCTGGACGGAATGGCTTTCGAGGAAACGCTGCAGTTCCACTAGGAGGCACCCTGAGACACGCATTTCCAGAGGGCGGGATAAGGGAAGCCAAAGTTTGTTAAGCGTTGTGCGCCGCGGCTGGGCGTGGTGATTCACGCCTGTAATCCCAGCACTTTGGGAGGCCGAGGCGGGCGGATCACTAGGTCAGGAGATCGAGACCATTCTGGCTAACACGGTGAAACCCCGTCTCTACTAAAAATGCAAAAAACAAAATTAGCCGGGCGTGGTGGGGGGCGCCTGTAGTCCCAGCTACTCGGGAGGCTGAGGTGGGAGAGTGGCGTGAACCCGGGAGGCGGAGCTTGCAGTGAGCCGAGATTGCGCCACTGCCTCCAGCCTGGGCAACAGAGCGAGACTCCCTATCAAAAAAAAAAAAAAAAAAAAAGAGGGTTGTGCGCGGGGCTCAAACCGTGATAAAACTGGGCAGAGCTATGCAGTCAGCCACCCCTCCCCCACCCCTTTCGCGCCTGCTCAGCTATGTACTCCTGGGTGCCTGGCAACAGTGGAGTGCTTTAGGCCTTTTCTAGAATGCGTGCAAACGGAACCATACCTAAGTGATGTCTGGCTTTTTTAAATTAGCACAATGCTTTGAGGTTCATCCTATTGTGTTTAATTAGTAATTCCTTTGTGTTATTGCTGAATGGTAGTCTATCGTGTGGATATGCCACAGTTTATTTATCCATTCACCAATTGATGAGCCTGTCGGTTGTAGGAAACAGGAGAAAACTTCCCCTTTGCCCTCTGAAGGGTCACCGAAAATCAACTGACAAGGCTGGGCCTGGGCTCCTGCCTGTAATCCCAGCTCTTTTTTAGGCCAAGGCAGGAGTATCTCTTCTTTGTGTAGTGTGTATTCAAATGTGTTGACCATTTATTTATTAGCTAGCTTGACTTATTATCTAAGAGTTCTTTATATATTATATTTGAGTTCTTTATATGTTTCATACCGTGTTCTTTATTAGCTATACGTTTTGAAATGGTTTCTACCTGTCTGTGGCTTGCCTCTTCATTTTAAGTGTCCTTTGAAGCACTGAAGTTTTAAATTTTCATGTAATTTATCCATTTTTTCTTTTACATAGTTCATACCTTTTTTGTCCTACTTAAGAGTTTTTGCTACACTCAAGATTATAAGATTTCCTCAGTTGTTACCTTCTAGAAGTTTTATAAGTTTTGGTTTCCATTATATTTAAAATGAATTATTCTTTATAGTATTGATAGATGCAGGAGGCAGAAGAGGGAGGGTCCCTGGAGAATCTCTGACCTGCCCCACAAGCTTTTGTGCAGCTGCGGAAGCCTGCCCAGGGTCTTGTCTGGGCATGCCCACAAGGCACTTGGGGGCCCACCTGCACTGGGAGAGTGGGTTGCAGCCACAGGGAATTCAGCCTTATGCAGCAGGGAGGAGCAAGACGTCTTCAGCTTGTGTGCGTAGACCTATTATTCAGTCTGTGAGCCGGGAGCCTTTTGGCAGGACCCTCCTTGTTTTTTTTGCTGAGAGCTTTCTTTTAATAAATGCCACTCTTCACCTTTCAATGTATTCATGTGCCTAATTGTTCCTGGTCATGAGACAAGAACCTGGATTTTAGCTGAGCTAAGAAGCAAAAATTCCTGCATCAGTATAAGGTAAGAATAAAGGTTCATTTTTTTTCTTATGGATTTCCAGTTGTTCCAGCTTGCCTATCCCCATGGAATCCCTGTCAAAACTCAGATGGCTGTATATTATAACCTCAGAGCCCAAACTGGCCTACTGTCTTGATAACAAAATGGCCAGTTACCTTGTAGGTATAACAGAGCCAGAACTTCAAGTCATGTAGACTGGGCATGTGCCATGGAAAAAGCTTTGACCTCTAACAATGAAACGGGAAAGGTTCCCTTGTCCCCTTCGTAGGGCGTGCGAAGTGGGAGTGGCTCGCTTCTTCAGTGCCCCACTGCTCACACCTCTAGGGGAGCATACAGACAGGCAGGTTGTGGGGCTCTGACCCCACGCCAGTGTCTAGGGATGGATGTTTACTGCTCCTGAAGCACCAGTGGGCTGTGCTACTGTGTGCTTTTTTAGTTTTGCTGTCTATAGGCACTTGTGTTAACCAGCTCAATTAGACCCTCCATCTTGTCACAAGGACAGAGGGCTTTCTGTATCCTGGGTACTTGCCTTGGTGTACCAGAAGAATCGGATCACATGTGGGCTTGGAGAATGAGTGCAAGGTTTTACTGAGTGGAAGTATCTCTCAGCAGATGGGGAAGCCAGAAGGGAGTTGGTTTTCCCCTGGAGTTGAGGCGCTTAGCGGCCCGGGCTGTCCTCCGACTGCCCTGGCCAAACTCCGCATTGTTCTCCTGGTCGATGGCCTGCCAGTGCTAGTGCCTTCAGAATGGTTCTTGCCACACAGTACCTACTGTAAGTAATTATTCAATGAATTAATGAATCCCTTAACATTCAGATTTTTGAAATAAATTATTCAGCAGTTTGCTAAAATAAAAACTCTAGAGATATTCCTGAATATAAAATATATATCTAGCAAGGTTAGGGATATAGGAAATATTGCTTTACATAATATTATTTTATTAAAAATATTATTCTTGGCTCACACCTGTAATCCCGTTACTTGGGAGGCAAGGCAGGAGGATTGCTTGAGCCCAGGATTTCAAGACCAGCCTGGGCAACATAGTGAGACCTTGTCTCTTAAAGAACAATTATTCTTGATTCATCACTTTATTATTTATCCAAACATTTTTCAACTAGTTCTCTTTTTTAAATTGTAAATTGGCAATTTATAATTGTATACATTTATGGGGAACAAAGTAATCTTATAATTTATGAATAACAATGTGAAATAATTGAATCAAGCTAGTTCCCGCATCCATCACCTCAAATACTTAACAATTTTTGTGGTGAAAACATTTCAAATTTAATCTCTTAGGTATCTTGAAAAGTGCAATACTGTATTGTTAATTATATTTACCACACTGCACAATGGAACTCAAAAAAAAAAAAGAAAGAACATATTCATCTTGTTACCAGGTTAAGTGTTCTGATGGTAAGGTGTCCAGGTTCTTGGCACATTGAACAAAGAATTGAACAACACACATGAACAAGCAGTGAAGGAGTGAATTTATGAGAGTGGAAGACAGTGAAGGATCAAAGGCAAAAGTACATTCCACAGGGTGGGAGCGGACTCAAGCAAGTGATTCAAGAGCTGTGGTAGCAAAGTCTTCTGGGGCTTTAGTACCCTCTAGAGGTTTCTTGTGGGTTATATCCTATGTAAATGAAGGATTGGCTTGTGACCAATTAGAGGTCGAGGTGAATTGGCCCATGGAAAATCCAAGACTGGTATGGTTTGATGCCTTATGCAAATGAAGGTCCTGGAATGGACCAATCATTGGCCAGAGTGCAGGTTCGGCCTGTGGCCAATCAGAGCCTGATGTGGTTTGGAACCTTATGCAAATGAAGATCCTGGAATGGACCAATCATAGGTCAGTGTGCAGACTCTTTGGCTCCATGGAGTCTGTCCAAATTATCCTTAGATTCCCTATCTCCGGACCCTGTTCTTCTGCCTCATTTTCCCCCTGAGAGACATGATCCCTAGAAATCTTTATGGGAGGCAGAGGGAGTGATGGTCTTTTCTTCTGTAACTGCTTCCTGCTGATTTACACGCTGGTCCTACCTACTGGGGACCACAGAACTCTCTCCCTGCTTTGTCTTGTGGAGACAGGGTAACCTTTTGATGGCCAGAGGTGGTGCCTTTACCTGACACTGGCTGGAAACCTTGTCACACATCATCTGAAGCTAACTGGTTTCTAGGCAAGAGAAAATGAACTTGGTTAAAAGGTTTAGCAAACATGGTCCAAAGACCAGGGCCAGTATAGCCAATAGCAATGGTCTGGCTAGGGGATGGAGCCATGACCCCCAGCCCAGCAGCCTTGACCAGGAGCCCCATGATTCCGACAGCTGTTGTCGTATTTTAGCGGCCCAGTCAGCTAGTTTTCAGGTGGCATCCCTTACTATTCCTGATCGGTTGACATAGAAACAGCATTCTTCCTCTAGGAAAAGACATAAGCCTCCCTTCTCAGTAGTTACAAGGTCTAGTCCCCTTCTGTTTTGCAAAGTGACCACTGCCAGGGAGCCTATTTGATTTTGTATGATGACAATACTTTGAGCAATGTCATCCAAGATTTCCATGAAAGCATTGGACAAACTCTGGTAGTAGGATAGGGAGGCTGCCAGCCTGTTAACTCCTGTTCCTATTCCTGCTGTTACTCCCAGCTCTACTAAAAGGGGTATGATGAGTTGGATGGCTTGCTTGTGTCTGGTGGTTGCAGTCAAAGGTATAGTGAGAGATTGGTTATTGGGAGCTATATTAATTTCAGGGGCTAAATAAACAAGTGTACAAGTTCCAGTCCAATTGGCAGGTAAACGTAAGTAGGAGCTGGTCCTGTACAGGAAAAAGGCTCCCTATTTTTCAAGACAGAAATTGTTTTCTCTGGTGAACATATGGGTTAATTTGTTATTTTTGCTTTCCCAAGTAGTTAAGGTCCCTGCTAAGGTGGCCCCTGTTAAAGACTGAAAGGGGCCTTGCAAAGTTGGGTTGCCCCAGTGGTTTTATTTTCCCGGTGGAGGTAGCTGCTTTTGGTGTCCACCAATAACCACCCGGGGGTATTTTCATATTGGGGAACCAAAAGACAGCTAAAGGTTTCAGGGCTAATGCAGTCTTCCCAAGGAAACGTGTGGACACAGCTAGTGGGCTTCCCTTAACAGTATTTAGACCGAATATCTTTTAAGGTGCCCTTAAGTAGGAGTGGTTTCCATGAAAACCATACAGGTTTTCTAAATCACGTAGTTTGGGTAACTGTGCAATTTACATGATTGTGTGAGGGATTAATCTCCAGGGTGTAATTGCACTGATTACTTTTCAAGGTCCCCAGGACCTGACTGGACTTTTGGCTCCTTTTGACACAGAATGTACCTGGAATTCTAGCTCTGTGTGTGTTGATATTGGGCCCCAGATGGATTTTTCTGAGGATGTAACCCTAGAGAGGTTGCTCTGATAAGACTGCAGGAGGTTTACTGCTCATCCTGTCATTGTAACCTTTGTCATGTCTGTAATTTGATTGTATAAGTCATCTAAGTTTATTAGTTTGAAGAGAGTTCCTCCTTTGTAGGCAACGTGGTAAGTCATTTTTTCAAGGGCCCAATAACGTGCTGGGACTGGGATAGCAGTGTACCTGGAAGAGTATGGGGATAAGCAAAGCCAACAATATTTTGCTAAGGCTAGGCTGGCATCCAGGCACAGTGGCTCATGCCTCTAATCCCAGCACTTTGGGAGGCCTAGGCAAGTGGATCACTTGAGGTCAGGAGTTCAAGACCACCTGGCCAACATGGTGAAACCCTGTCTCTACTAAAAAAAAAATCCAAAAAACAAAAACAGAAAAACAAGACTGGGCTGGTGGTGTTTAACAGTCTTTGTATTAGATTCAAGGTTCTTAGTAAATACTGAGGGTCACCTAATGACCGGTCAGAGGGTAAATTGAGGCCCTGCTGTAGAATTAAGCCAATTCCCAATATGCGTGATTCCAGTGTGTGTGGCCTGTAGCAAATCATTGTGGGTATGAATGTACCTTTTTGTTACTTTGCCTCCTTTAAGTCCTACAGGGTAGGATTCTACTAGGGCAGAGGAGATGATCCCACCACTTGGGAAAAGGCAGTTTAATAGTGTAAGAATAACTAGTATTACCCCAACTACCACGACCACACAGAAAAGACACCAAGGAAAGTTAACAGGCGTTTACTTATCTTTTGGCCATTCTTTTAAACAGGTACTTCAGGTCTTCCACAGGTTCACAGGTATAGCGGCTGGTAGGAGTTCCAGGTTCGGGGTCCGGAAACTTCTGGTATGGCAGGCTTAACGCTGGAAAGATGTATCCAATTATCTAACCCTAGTACTTTGACCACAGAAGGTGTGGCCAGAACCACTGAAAATGGTTCCTTCCATTTGGGTTGTAGCTGTTGAGCAGATGATCCCTCTTTCCATGTTTTTACCAGTATCTTACCTCCTGGCCTAATTTTGGGTTGCTGTTTAGTTCCCAGTACAGGGAACCACTGGGTTCCAAACTTTTGTAAATCCTGCTGAAATTGTCCCAGGTTAATTAGGTATTTTACTAAACTGGTTGTTTCTGGATCAGTGATTAGATCATTAGTTAAAAATGGCCTTGCATATAATATTTCATATGGGCTCATATTAATTTTTGCTTGAGGGGAATTACGGATCCTTAAGAGGGCTGTGGGGAGCAAGTTGACCTAAGTCTCTGACATTTCCTGGCACAGTTTAATGACCATTTTAGAGTTTGATTAGCCTTTTCTACTTTCCTGGAGGATTGAGGCCTCCATGCTGAATGTAAATTTGATCCTGAGGGCCTTAGCAACCCCTTAAGTTATTTGGGAGATAAGCTGTTATTTTGAAGGCTCTGGGATAACCCAAACCAAGGGATTATTTCTCTTTCTTTATTTTATTTTATTTTATTTTATTTTATTTTATTTTATTTTTTGAGACAGAGCCTCACTCTGCTGCCCAGGCTGGAGTGCAATGTGCGGTCTCGGCTCACTGCAGCCTCCACCTCCTTGTTTCAAGGGATTCCTGTGCCTCAGCCTCATGAATATCTGGGATTATAGGCATGCACCATCAAGGCCAGATGATTTTTTTTTTTTTTTTTTGGTAGAGACAGGGTTTTGCCATGTTGCCCAGGCTGGGCTCAAACTTCTGGCCTCAGTGATCTGCCTGCCTCAGCTTCCCAAAGTACTGGGATTACAGGTGTGAGACATCGTCCCCGGCCAGATTATTTCTTTTAAGAGAATTTTCACTATTTCATTGGCCTTTTCTGTTCTGGTAGGGTAAACTTCAACCCAGCTAATAAAGTTTTCTATCAGTACTAGTAAAAACTTGAATCCTTTACAGGCTGGCATATGGGTAAAGTCCAATTGCCAGTCTTCCCCTGGGTAAGTTCCCCCTCTTTGGATTGGCTCTATTAAAGGAGGCAGTTTGTTTCCTGGGTTATTTAGTGCACACAGTGAGCAGGCTTGACAGACCTGTTTGACCATGGAAGCTAGGTTGGATCCAGTGAAGAGCTTGTTTACCATGGCCAAAGTTGTGTCTCTTCCCACATGGAAAGAGTTATGCAGGGCTTTTATGATTTTCCATTGGGCTGCTTGGAGAAGATTTATTTTTGATTATACCACCAAGATACCTGTTTCATTCCTCCCTGTTGTCTTATTAGCTGTTCTTCCTGTGAGGTGTACTCAGGTTCTATTGGGGAGTCATAAAAAAGGAGTACTGCTAAAACTTGTTGAGATTGTACCTTGAGGGCTGCTGCCTTGGATTCCTTTTTGTTCCCTTGTGCTATAGG